CTACCGAGAACAGCCTCTCTCCATCCTCTTTGGAACCTCCCTTCCCCACTCAGTAACCTGGGGAAATGACCCACCAGGCCTGGGCCCCTCGGAGAGGCAACGATTCCCCACTGGCCAGGGCAGAGCCTCCCTCTGACACAGTCATGGAGCCTTCTCCCCCTGGTCCTGCCTCCCCCTTCACTCAGCTCTCACTGCTCGGTGCTGCCAGGGAGGGGCCTCACTGCTCGTCAGTGTTCCTATTCCAGGAGCAGGGTGAGTTTCGTCTTGTGCACCAATATTGAGTCTGTGGGTGCTTGTTCGGGGGTGAGCCCCCGCGACGTCTGCCAGTTACTAACCAATATCTTAGCTACAGGTTATGGGAGAAAGACACTAACCCAAGGGATAATTAACACCTGGCTGCAGCTAGTCTCTGCCTCCCACAGGGTCACTAGGGAACAGATGAGGTACAAGGCATGAAGTAGATCCAAGAGGCTGGCTAAGTCAAGTGTGAGAAGCACATGGAAAAAGACCCAAAAGCAGGTGAGAAAACAGCATGAAAACATCAAGATCAGGACCCGAGTAGCACATGTAAAACCAGGAATTCAAGAAAAGCCAGGACAGGCTGATAAAGTGAAATCCCTGCTTTTTTCTACTTCAAAAACTAATTTTGAACTTTTTGACAGTAGCCAACCACTCAGCCTGTGCTCTCTTCTTCCAGCTTCTCAACAGGAAAGAAGGAACAATCATCAACAGCAGACAGCAATGACATTAAAGCAACACTGTCTGCTTGCTTCATGCTCAGAAGAGAACACTATCACTCATCCTCATAGTTAGCAAGACCAACCACTTTCAGCTACTTTTCTCTAGATACCAACTATAGAAATGATCCCTGAAAGTACAGTCTTAACAGCAGCCTGCTCGCTACACACCCACACTCATGTGCATTCACTTTCTCCTCATGAGGAATGTTTTCACACAACACTTAGAAAACTAAAGAACAGAAATAATCTCAGCAAAGTGCTTGTCCCATTCAAACACGCTCCATTAGGTTTAGAAATCTGTATATTAGAATATGCTCCGTGTCCCTGTTTACAGAAACACACCTCCTTATTAGCATGTGGAGCACCTGGCAGCCAATCAAAAATCTCCTTCTGTTTCTTCCTGAAAGTGCAGTTTCTGGGGCTCTTCTAAGTCAGTGGTAAC